GGGTCCTATATCACACACAGAAACAGAGCATCTTTAAAGTTAGAGAAATCAGCATAGTTTACTTTACCGAAAATTCACGTTCAAAATGGTGCATGACGGGCTCTCGGCTGCGGCAGTACTTGGGAGTTCTACTAAAGGCCCAGCACTGGCCATCTAGATAACTGTTAGCAATGCAAAGCAGGGGGCAGAGGGGTCTCTCTGCCATGGTATTCTTACAGAGAAATATTTCTCAAGTACTGTTCTCTCCATTGTGGCCCAACCAAGGAACAGGACAGAACTGCACTAAATGTGTCTTTGACGAAGCATCGGGAGAAACTAGAATGTCGTGTTGTACCGCAGTGGGCAAGGAGAAGGAAACTGGGCAGGTGTCTAAAACTTCCTTCCCTCAGCTTCCAGGCACATGGACATTTGCAACTTGAATTTTATGTTTTGGAATCAATGAATGGTTCTCTCAGGACAGAATAAACACGGAGTACAGAAAAAGCCTTGCCTTAAAGAATGTTCCTGTGTCACAGTTAGTTGCCTTGTCTCCTGTGACCTTGCAGCTCTCTGAGACTCTGCCTGTTAGATGTTGTCTCTGTCCCTCCCAGGGCTACCCCAGGGAGACATTCTGCCAGGTGGTTTCCCCTACACTGCTACTGAGTTGTGATAACAGGTAAAGCTACCCTACTTAAGTTTGTATGGATGAGTGGCTCAGAATCACCAATACAATACTCAAGTAAGTACATCCTTTTCACCAAGTGTAACAGGTATCGGTTAAAGTCTTACAATAGAAAATCACTTACCTTTCTTTACATCTTTTACTCAAACCTAAGGCAGCTGAAATTAAAGAACCACACAAACACACACGCTCATGCTCTGCAATCTTGGAATGCTCAAATATAGCAATACAAATAAAGATTAAATACAGACAAATGACCAACATGTTCATTGGTTCTACACAATAACAACTGATGAATGAAATTCTGTTATGTTTTATGCTAAGGTGGATTGTGGGAAAATGTTCCTGGCTTTATGTCAGAGGGTTACAGAGATAAAAATGACTTTAAACCTGAAGTAACTGCTGAAGTGGGAAAGTGGAGAATAAGCGTGTGTGATGAGCATTCCTCTGAAGAGGACTTCTGGAGAGCAACCAGTGAAATACCAGGAGGAGGGGAGACCTCTGCTGAAGGTTTTTGGAACTGAGTCTCTTGACTGCAACACCAAGTGGGCCCGAAGGAATGAGCTCTGCCCACCTGGGGGTGAGTAGGTACCAATGCCCTTCCCCAGCACCCTCCCACCCAATGGCCAGAAAAGGGCAGTGGAATCTGGACTTGATATTCAGGGCCACGTAGTGTAACAGAAGGAGCTCCAGGATTTCTGCCTCCCAGGTTTGTGCTTTGACTCCCTGCAGAAGAATCACTGTGCAGTTAAGGACGGGCTCTCGGCTGCGGCAGTACTTGGGAGTTCTACTAAAGGCCCAGCACTGGCCATCTAGAGACTGATTAGCCCTCCAGGCAAGGATTCTGGGAGGCTGGAGATGGGCATCAGGGCTGGGCTCAGGGGTAGGGGCTACCATCTTGGCACAGAACAAAACTGCTTGGCCTCACAGAGAACCAACCCTTGGTTTTCACCTCATTACCAAGCCCTCAAAATTAGAAGTGCAAATGCACCACCACAGAGTTTGGGAGTTGGAGGTGGGGTTCAGTACATGGATTTTCCACTGTCCAAGTGAAGGCTGAAACTGTTGTCACTTTAAATGAGTCTCTTTGAAAATGTAGGTGGTGTCAATAAATACACTGTCCTAAGGGCTCCAGGGTAACCTGTGCCTGTAAAGCAGATGGAACGAAAGGACAGGCAGCAGGATCTCCCTGATGTGGCCTCAGCAGGCTGGAGCAGTCCAGTGGGGCTTGATGTCCCAGCAGGTCATCCGCTTTTCCCCACTGGGCCTGCAACAACTATGGTGGCTCTTATGTACAACCAGGGCAAGGAAGGCCAGAACCCAGCTTGCCAGTTTGGAACACTCTGGAGGGTAGAGGAGGTCTAGAGGTCAGAAGGTGGAAACTGGAGGAGGCAGGAACATAGACCTGGGACTCGGTCCCACTCAGTCTGCCCCATTGATTGTTTTTGGCTTTTCCTTTTGGCCCTTTCCGTGGTCCACAAGCTTCCTGAAAGGTCCATTGGGGCTTGACTTACAACACATGGCTAACAATGGAGGGAAGAGGGGGCAGGGGCAACGAGGGCCAAATGAAAGTTGACCATTTGGCCTGTGACAAACCTGGGAACAACTGCCTGCTGCCTGTGCTCTCTCCATCCCTAAAATGTGAATAAGTCCCTCCTGCCAAGAGACCTCCAATACCCTTATCTCCAGGCCACATACAAGAGCAGACCGATTCCATGTTAGACTGATGATACCTGAATTCGCACCCAGGATGGGGGATGCTGCAAACGGCTTACCTTCAGTTATGACCAAGTCAGTCCCGATTTCTCCCATCTCACTTTCTCTTAGACAAAATCCCTGAGAGCCAACTGCTTACTCCACCCACCCCCAAATCCTCTCCACCAAACCACATGGGAACCTGGCAATCCAGCAGAGGCCCTGGCAGAGGGCAGAGAATGCTGCAGGGAGAGCGCAGGTCAGATCTAGGGAGGAACGCCAGGCCAGAAACACCCTCAACGGCCTTGTGGACAGGATGTCTGAGGGTTCCCCCCTTGACTCCTTTTCTTTTTTTTTTTGAGATGTAGTCGCGCTCTGTCACCCAGGCTGGAGTGCAGTGGCACGATCTTGGCTCACTGCAAGCTCCACCTCCAGGGTTAAAGCGATTCTCTGCCTCAGCCTCCCGAGTAGCTGGGATTGCAGGCATGTGCCACCATGCCCAGCTAATTTTTATATTTTTAGTACAGACGGGGTTTCACCGGGGTTTCACCAGGTTGGCCAGGCTGGTCTTGAACTCCTGACCTTGTGATCCACCTGCCTCAGCCTCCCAAAGTGCTGGGATTACAGGCGTGAGCCACTGCGCCCGGCTCCCCTCCCCACTGACTCTTAGGCCCATGTTAGCAGCCAGCAGTGGGTAATCTACAGGTCTCTCTAATTCCAAGCTCCTCTGTGGTCACATACAAGAGGGGAGGCCAAGTGGCCACGAGACCACACTAGGGTAACACCAGACTTACCAGCCACTCTCGGGAGAGAACCGAAGCAGGCAGCCCCCAGCTCTCAGGAGAACCACCTTCTCCTTTGGCCTCAGGCAGGTGAGGAGGCTGTACTCCTGTCACAACTCGAGAATTATAAAGGATGCTTACAAAAGAACTGTTTTTCCCTACCTCAGTTATAAAAGCCAGTAAGTTGTCTCCCTGTAACCAAGAACTCAACTGCCTAACCCTCTTTCCTCTTCACCAGAGTAACTAGGGAACCAACATTTTTGCAGCAACAGGACTTTTGAGAGTTATGGTTTCCAAAATTAAAATATACCAAAATGCCATGCAGTTGATTTGCAGGTTTTAGAGCTGTATTTTAAAACTGAAATCAGAGTGAAAATGAAGATTTTGAAAGTCATGATGAAAATGAAATGAATATAGATGAAGTCACTGGGTGCTTTTTTAAAGATGCTGTATTTCATTTAAATATTCAGATAAGGAAATAGTCTCAAATCTGCTTTCCCACTTGTTAATCACTTCAAAAATCGAGACACTTTGGGTCCTATATCACACACAGAAACAGAGCATCTTTAAAGTTAGAGAAATCAGCATAGTTTACTTTACCGAAAATTCACGTTCAAAATGGTGCATGCTCTACTGAAAACAGCAAAGAGAGAAAGAGAAAGAGGGGACACAAGTCATTAT